CGCTCAATGATCATGTACCTAACCTCACGCCACCTGCTTCCCTTTCTCTCAACTTGTATCCTTGAACGCGTTTCAAACTTTTGCTTCCTCGCTTTGATATTATAAATTGATGTCTTTCAACGATCCTTCTACTAACGCATTAGCGGTTAGCCTCCGATCGTGTCGCTGTTAGCGGTTGCGCCAAACCCACACGACAATAAACATCCCGAATGATTCGATTGAGTACCGACAGTACAGCGCACCAAAAGCTCGCACGTTGACATGGCATGTCAAGTTAATGGCCGCCACGACAAAAAGAACCCAAAAATTGAACAAATGCGAGCGACGGGCCATTCGCGAAGACCGAGTGACAGCCGGGCCCCTGGTCACAATTTTCGGCGCACGTCAAAACAAAGCATACGTCATCTGCTTGACGCGCTTTCGGTGCTCACGATGGAGTTCTCGTCCACCTGGAACCATCCTGTGACACGCAAGCCCAACCATTAGTACCCCCCTCGAAGCGGCTCAAACAAAGCAAACAGCGCGCCGCAACACCAAATGGCAGCCTGCCCCCTGGTCACAATTTACGGCGTACGTCACAACAAAGCTCACCTGGCATTCTTCACACGCATTCGGTGCTCACTTTGGAGTCCTCATCCACCGTCGGCCATCCTGTGACCTGCCAGCCCCACCATCAGTACCCCCCTCTAACCGGCCAAAAAACGACCAAAGGCGCGCCTTGGCTCCTTGGCCAACACCAAATGGCAGCCGGGCCCCTGGTCACAGCGCTCGGCGCACATCAGAACACAGCTCACCTCGCATTCTTCACACGCTTCCAGTGCTCACTGTGGAGTCCTCATCCACCGGCGTCTACCCTGTGGCACGTTGGCCCCACCATTAGTACCCCCCTCAAAGCGGCCAAAAAAAAAAAAAAAGGGCGCGCCTTGGCTCCTCAGCCGACACCAAATGGCAGCCGGGCCAGCGGTCACAATTTTCGGCGCACGTCACAATTAAGCTCACCTTGCATTCTTCACAAGCGTCCAGTGCTCACTGTGCAGTTCTCACCCACCGTGGACAGCCCTGTGACATGCCAGCCCCACCATGAGTACCCCCCCCTCGAAACGGCCAAAACAAACAAAAGGTGCACTCCTCAGCCGACACGAAATGGCAGCCGGGCCGCTGGTCACAGCTTTTGGCGCACGTCAAAACAAAGTTCACCTCGCATTCTTCGCACGCTTCCGCTGCTCACTGTGTAGTCCTCGTCCACCGTTGGCCGCCTTGTGACCCGCCA